TTAATAAATAAATAAAATAAAATAAAAATAATAGAGTGTTGATTATTGGTTTCGCAAGTGAATAAATATCTTAATAACAAATTATTTTTAGACCAATCTAAAGATCTGCAATTTGGCTTCACAAGTGAATAAATGGTTTATGACAGTTTTTCTCATTTTTTAGAGCAAAACTACATCGCAGTAGACTTATTTCATAAAATTAATAAAACAATAATATGTACCCGATCAGACATAATGATTGTGTAGCAATAATATTTTCAGTAAGTGGGAAAAACGTCAATCAGTCAGGAGGGTATACCGAAATTAGACCGGGGTGCTACGGCGACGGAAAATGGTTTCAGAGCGCGTCAAGATAGCCATAAGCGTGGTAAAAACGCCAGATATCGTGCTGTGGTCTCCATGGTCACCAATGATCCCCGAGTCACGGCGTTTGCTTTGAGCATGTTCAATACAAACGCCAAAGGCGCTGAGATCTGACCTAGAAAGCTGTGAGAACGTGGCTTTTTTCAAGTTTGTAATTTTTGGGGACATTTTCTCGCGTTGTGTTCCCGTTTGCTGGCGACTTTGTCCATTTTCTGGTCGCCCTAAGGTCGCCGCAGGACGCTACCCGGGTCTGACCGGGGCATAATTGGTAGTTGAATAGCTAGCCGGATGTAGACACTGTGCTGTGACAAGGCATACACTGGATGTTAGCTACGAGAACGTAACTAAAAACGCTAAGATATACTGATGTGCTTGTTTTTAGCTACGATTGGATGCCTTTACTTCCAAATGGCAAACTCAATTTCTTTACCAACTGAAAATATCTTAATTTTATAGTCCTACTTATTACACATACATAGTCCAATCTACTGAAACAACATTCATTTATCAGCAAATATTGAAAATAAAGTAAATAAAGTGTTGTTTTTTATCAAAATTGATTCGGACGTTGTAATACTATAAGACTTCTTGTTGTGTTTACTTTCTGGTGATCTTTAATAAGACTACAGCATAAAATAGTTTCACAACTTTATTTCTAAGTTGTACTGGCTTTGCAGGTTCCTCGTTCTCAATGATAATGGCTGGTAGGAATTTCTGGGTGAGCTCTAATCCAGCTCGCCCCTACACCCTAATTTATACCCCCTAATTTCTGCAGGTCTTCGATAACCTTGACGTTAATTTCCACTCCATATAAGGAATAAAAGTCTTTATTTCCCACAAATAAGATAGGAAACATTACCTATTTTTGTTCGATCAACCATAGGTCAATTAACAGCCAGAATTTGATGACTATTTTGATTATGAATATAATTTGACCAAAATATCATTGTTTTTTATGAATAACTATACCCACGTTCATTAAGTACGTGAGATTAGACGTTATAGACAAAATTGAAGAGACAATTTTATAAAGACCCAAAATTGTCTCAAGGGCTAAAGTGCTACAACGTTCATAATTACGGCGTATTACTACTGCGCAACTCTGATCAGATTAGTACTTTGATTGGCTATTGCACACGAGGCCCCGCCTTTATGTGTTACAGACTTAAATTTAAAATGTCGGAAAAAGCAATCTACTGTCGCTTTGATTTAAAAAGAGGAGATTTGTACCCGTTTCAGGTAGGATTATATGCTAATTGTAGTTGGGTGTGGCGGAAATATTATAAATAACAATAACCAATCGTTGTTTTGATTTAAAATATTGTCAATTTTGTTTACAAATGCCGGGTGCGAATCGCTCCCGCATGTGCTACGTCGAAGTTAATAGCACCATTTCTTATCTCGAAACACGGAGTGTTGTGAGATAAGATTTGTTATCTAACTGGATGTGGGCGTTTTCTGCCTCTGTTTTTGTACGCCGTAAGCAATCGCATGTTTGTTGTTCTACAAATTAAAAACAAGTATGGCGATTTTTTTAGGGTGTTAACTTTTTTGTTTTGTTTAATTATTTCTGCAGTTTTGTAATCGGAGTTCAGCTTTAATGAATTATATAAAATTTAAGGCCAAACTAACATAGGCGTACGGGCTTGATGACAGTTAGGGGGGCAGAACACGAAATGCCCGAAAATAAATTGCGTTTTCAGACAGGGGCTACCCCCCCCCCCCTGCGTTTTCCTGCTATTTCAGCCAGTGAACAAAGCAACTTCAAAGTGGTCTAAAATATCCTTATTAAGGTGGCTGACTCGAATTCCAATCAATCGTTTACAGTCCACGAAGACGGGACTGTTGGGAGAAAATTTGACTGTCGCAAACGCGATTTCCTGCTATTCCAGTCTGTGAAAACAACAAATTCAATGTGGTTCAATGTAGCCTACCTGGCTGACCCAAATTCCAATCAACTAATCAATTGTCGCGGGATATGGGGGCCTGAAAATTTAACCACCACAAATACGTTTTCTGCTATTCTAACCCGTGTAAGAAACTCCAAAAGTGTCCAATAGTTTTGTAACCGAAAACCCCCTCTGAATTCCACGCATCCAATCAGACTGTTGCAGCTGCATTCACAATTAATAATCGATACCGAAAAAAGTGGCTCCAAAGACAAAATGTTTTAATCCATAGTCATCTCAGTACAAATTCGTGGTATTCAATTAAAAGAAAAGTAAAATTAGTGTTTTATTAGAGCTCGATGACAATTTCGGGGGGCATAACCCGAAATGCCCGAAAAAATTTCGGGTTTACCGACAGCGACGCCGGTCTTCTTCGAGAGGTGAAGAAGCGGAGCTGATCTTGTATGGACCCCCAAGAAAATTTTGGAATATTTGACGGCCGCAAACGCGTTTTCCTGCTATTCCAGCACGCACGTAAAATTAGTGTTTTATTAGTTTCCGGACACTTTTTCTTTGCCGTGTAGATGAAATTTTTTTTTTATCACTTTACCCGTCTGCCTGAAAAGTCAGATTGCCCGAAAGTTAGGGGGGCAGCTGCCCTGCCACCCTGCCCCCCCCACCCCCTGGCTCGTACGCCTATGCAAACTAAAATCTCCAAGTCCAATAGACAGATTTAGCTCTTACATAATACATCGTTAAAGTTTACAGCGCAGTGGACGCTCACGGGTATCCGAGGAGTCACTCATTTCATTTGATATTGTCTTGTCCGCAGGTTTGTCTTGAACGTTTTACTTTACGTGTAGTGTCGTTTTCCAGCACTTATTATTTGTAACTGAACATGCGTTATTTTACACTAAACGCAGTAAACGCTTGAGAACTATGGCGGTATATTAGATTCAAAATTTTAACATGCTATCGTCTAATTTCTAACTTCAGTTCATGTAATTTTTAACTTCTATTCATGTAACTTCTAACTTCTTTATTTCAGAGGCGGATTTAAGGGGATGGGGGCGAGGGGCGCCCCCCCCCCCCTAATTTTCGACAGTGCATTTTTTTACTGCTGAAAGTGCCCTTTCTCAGACCCAAATATGTCCGTTCCCAACCCGTTGCAGGGATCCCAAATGACCCAAACCATCGATTCAAACACACCAGTCTGGTCAAATTAATGCTTTCACTTTCAAACGAATTCTTGTTGTTTAGCTGACGGTGCCCTAATCCTATAGAGTGGCTATAGACAGATATCTTGTGGAATCGGCGGCGAATACACTCATGCCCTTCACCGACGCGCATGAGTGCAACTTGATGTAGCATTGTTTCATGTGTGGACAGTTCAAAGTACAAGTTACAAGGCTTAAATAGTGAAGTGGCTAGGGAATAGATTCGTCTTTTTTCCCATCATAATGCCTCGCTCGCATTGACAATTTTCGAGTCGCATGTTCAACTGGCTTTTTTGCTCGATTTTAAGGCTATTTTTCAACGATTTCCGAACGTTTACTTAGACGAAAATATCAGCCAAATAGCTCTTGGAATGGCTACAGATGCAAGGAAATGACGGATTATTTTCTTGGGGACTCCCCCCACCCCACCAAAAAGAAAATCCCCTCTCAGCGGCGTGCCCCGTCTCCGCGGTCAGTGCCCTTATTTTGCGGCGCCCCCCCTTTTCAAAATTCCTAGATCCGCCCCTGTATTTGTTCAGTGTAAATTTTAATTCTATTTCATCTTTTTTCTATTATTTAGACGAAAAACGTCTTCTTCATTTACGCTTTACACGTTTAGCATCAACATCAACGAATTAGAATTTTTACACTTCAGCCTAGCTCACTGCGTGCTCATTTGGTGATTGCGCACCCGGTCGGGACCATTATGTTGATATAAACGATTCTTTCTTCGTTTGGTTGAATGTTGGAAGGAGTGCTGAAATTTGGAGAGAGAGAGAGAGAGAGAGAGAGAGAGATGGGCTTGATAAAGACGACAGTATTCTCGTCGAAACGTCGCTTAGTATTAAACTCAGTAATTGTACCTTATGCTAATATAGACCAACAGAATATAAATATTAATTGGCTCAACTGTAAAAAAAAAATCAAATAAAATTCTCCAAATACTGCACTTAAAAAAAAACAACAAATGCTGTTAATTTAGCTTATATTTGAAATAATATTTCCAAACCATATAACGTTCGATGTGGGTTGGATGACCGAATGGTTAGCACGTGCGTGCTGTATCACAAGGGCTGTCATTGACTCAAGGAGTAGGGTCGCCTGTCCATCCTCGTGGGTTTTCTCTGGCTCCCCCGGTTTCCTCCCACTGCTAAAGACCCCTACGCGCAAGCGTACCGGAACTGGATGTGGGCGTGATAAAATGTGACGTTCTGGAACTGGATGTGGACGGGATAAAGCGCGCTGTACTTGGACTAGACTGTATGTGCGCAAGATAAATCATGACAAAACGGAACTGGATGCGGGCGAGATGACGAATGTTGTACCTGGACTTTGATGTGGGCGAAGAAAAGAGTATTGTACCTGGACTGGATGTGGGCAAAATAAAGCGTACTGAACATTTGACTGGGTGTGGGCAAGAAAAAGATTGCTATACTGGGAATTGATGTGGGCGAGATCAAGCGTGTCATACCGGGAAGTTTTAGTCGAAGACGGGAACGAGTGAAATAATTTGCCTTTTAAAACACAAAAATGTATCATATCTGCATTTATTATACAGCATTAAACATGAACATATAATAACATGGTGGTGATAAACCATTAATAATAATAATGTGGTGATAAACTATTAATAATAACATGGTGGTGATAAACCATTAATAATAACATGGTGATGATAAACCATTAATAATAACATGGTGATGATAAACCATTAATAATAACATGGTGATGATAAACCATTTATAATAACATGATGGTGATAAACCATTAATAATAACATGGTGATGATAAACCATTAATAATAACATGGTGGTAATAAACCATTAATAATAACACGGTGCCGATAGACTATTAATAATAACATGGTGGTGATAAACCATTAATAATAACACGGTGCTGATAGACCATTAATAATAACATGGTGGTGATAAACTATTAATAATAACACGGTGGTGATAAACCATTTATAATAACATGGTGGTAATAAACAATTAATAACAATGTGGTGATAAACCATTAATAATAACATGGTGGTGATAAACTATTAATAATAACATGGTGTGATAAACTATTAATAATAACATGGTGGTGATAAACCATTAATAATAACATGGTGCTGATGAACCATTAATAATAACACGGTGGTGATAAACAATTAATAATAACAAGGTGCTGATAGACTATTAATAATTACATGGTGCTGATGAACCATTAATAATAGCACGGTGGTGATAAACTATTAATAAAAACACGGTGCTGACAGACCATTAATAATAACATGGTGGTGATAAACCATTATTAATAACACGGTGGTGATAAACCATTATCAATAACACGGTGCTGATAAACCATTAATAATAACATGGTGGTGATAAACTATTAATAATAACATGGTGGTGATAGACCATTTATAATAACATGGTGGTGATAAACCATTAATAATAACATGGTGGTGATAGACCATTTATAATAACATGGTGGTGATAAACCATTAATAATGTGATAAACCATTAATATCAACATGGTGTTGATAGACCATTAATAATAACATGGTGCTGATAAACCATTAATAACAACATTAATGATAACATGGTGCTGATAAACCCGTTAATAATAACATGGTGCTGATAAACTATTAATAATAACCTGGTGGTGATAAACCATTTATAATAACACGGTGGTGATAAACTATTAATAATAACACGGTGGTGATAAACCATTAATAATAACATGGTGGTGATAGACCGTTAATAATAACACGGTGGTGATAAACTATTAATAATAACATGGTGGTGATAAACCATTAATAATAACATGGTGGCAATAAACCATTAATAATAACATTGTGGTGATAGACCATTAATAATAACATGATGGTGATAACACGATGCTGATAAATCATTAATAATAAAATGATGCTGATAAACTATTAATAATTACATGGTGCTGATAAACCATTAATAATAACATGATGGTGATAAACCATTAATAATAACATGGTGGTGATAAACTATTAATAATAACATGGTGCTTATAAACCATTAATAATAACATGGTGGTGATAAACTATTAATAATAACATGGTGGTAATAAACCATTAATAATAACATGGTGGTGATAAACTATTAATAACACGGTGCTGATAAACTATTAATAATAACATGGTGGTGATAAACTATTAATAATAACATGGTGGTGATAGACCATTAATAATAACATGGTGGTGATAAACTATTAATAACACGGTGCTGATAAACTATTAATAATAACATGGTGGTGATAAACTATTAATAATAACATGGTGGTGATAGACCATTAATAATAACATGGTGGTGATAAACAATAAATAATAACATGGTGGTAATAAACCATTAATAATAACATGGTGGTGATAAACTATTAATAACACGGTGCTGATAAACTATTAATAATAACATGGTGGTGATAAACTATTAATAATAACATGGTGGTGATAAACCATTAATAATAACATGGTGCTGAAAGATCATTAATAATAACACGGTGGTGATAAACTATTAATAAAAACACGGTGGTGATAAACCATTAATAATAACACGGTGGTGATAAAATAAAAAATGGTGCCCTAAACCAATAACGACAACATATTCTATATAATACAATAAGCGATTAAAGGCATTTAGCATCCTATATAATCAAATAACAAATATACCATCCTATATCAAACATAATTGATCATCGCCATCTTACTCCATATTATATAATTCATTTTCTCTGGTGTCGTCACTAGCTAACGTTGTATAATCATTATTGTCACCATACTCTATCATCATCACCGTCCAGATGGTATACATGGATACTGTCAACATCTCCATCATCATCACTGTCCAGGTGGTATACATTGATACTGGCACCATACTCTATCATCATCACCGTCCAGATAGTATACATTGATACTGTCGCCATACTCTATCATCATCATCACCGTCCAGATGGTATACATTGATACTGTCACCATACTCTATCATCATCACCGTCCAGAAAGTATACATTGATACTGTCGCCATACTCTATCATCATCATCACCGTCCAGATGGTATACATTGATACTGTCACCATACTCATGGATACTGACCCCATACTCTATCATCATCACCGTCCAGATGGTATACATTGATACTGTCACCATACTCATGGATACTGTCATCATACTCTATCTTCATCACCGTCCAGATGTTATACATTGATACTGTCACCATACTCTATCATCACCGTCCAGATGGTATACATGGAGACAGTCATCATCACCGTCCAGGTGGTTTACATGGAGACAGTCATCATCACCGTCCAGGTGGTTTACATGATTGCGGTCATCATTCGCAATCATGTTATCATCAGGCATGGGTATATCATATAGTTATAATTAATTATATAGGAAATCGGATATCATCAGATGTTAGAAATGGATACAGTCATCATCACCGTCCAGATATCTACATCATCATCATCATCATCATCATGACCAATATTTTCATCTCCAAGACGTACATCCCAATATCCTACATTCGGTGTTGAAATGTAGGACGTTATCCATCACTATTAGAATTATCGTATAACAATACCCTCGACTTGGTCCCCCGTCAACATTCATCGTCATCATCATCATCATCATCATCGTAATCACAGATATCACCATTATCATCATCCTTCAACATCCATCTTGTCATCGCTATCACTAACATTCATATCTTTATCATCACTAACATCCGTAGCTTTATCATTCTCATCTACAATAACATCATCAGGTATGTCATCACCATCACCATCTTTGACAACATTATTCTTGATATCAGGTGTGTCATCTTCATTTCCTTCCAGGTTATAAACTTGGTAATCATAGCCATTATTAGCATCATCTCCTTCATTCTCATCATCATCATCATCATCATCATCATCATCCTGATCGTCATCTTCCCTCATATTATCTTCATCATAATAATCATCCTCGGAATAACGGATAAAGTATTTTTTAGGAAGAAGATCACGCAGTAAGATCTTCTTCACCACAGGTCCAGTTAAGTCAAGTTGTTGAACTTTTTTCCTTATTTCTAGTCCCAATTTCTGTCTGATGAGTCTTACGCACTTCTCTTGAAGAGATAAGTTAAAACATGCTAACTTGAATTTCTCCCTGTTTATTGAGTGAGCCATTCCACCTTGTCCATCTTGCTCATCCTCCATTTTGAAATTAACGGTCGAAACAATCTCTTCTTCTGGAGCCCCACTTCGATAAAGTAGTTGTCTAAGTTTATTTCTCTCTTTACTGTCAAAATCATCTAAATGAACATCGTCATTGTAGAAATTGGTTTCAGTAGATACAGACTGAAGATGCTGAAGACAGCAGTTTTCAGCAACTAAATATCTTATTAAATCAACAGTTTTCTCTGGTTCAAAAAAGGTAGGGAAAAGTAAAGCTCGCTGTATCAGTGTATTTCCATGTGGTCCTGGTAAATTCAGAAGTTTATGGCCACCTCTCATCAAAAACATTTTCACAAAATGTCTACTATAATCAAGGTCTAGATATTGTAAAGCAGATGTGTCATATTTGGTTTCTAAAATACTGATATTTGAGCCCAATTCAAGTAGTAAACGTAAAATAAATTTATTATTTTTCTTGGCCGCTAAAATCAAAGCAGTATTTCCATTATTGTCCTGACTATTAATATTTCCACCAGCATCAAGTAAAAGTTTGACACATTTTTGAAAAGTTTTATAGTGTTCACTCAGTGAATCGTCCATCAAATTTCCAGTTTGGTTCAGTCTAGACTTAGATAATAGGCACCCGATTACAGCAATGTGTATGGCTGTATGACCTTTATTGTTTGGTATATTAACATCACGTGTAGGACTGTATTTTGTTATCAAGTCCAGGTATTTATGGTTCAATAAGAAAGCTCCAATAATAAGAGGAGTGTTAGTTAGAGAATCTTTATGATTTATATCAATATTATAATTAAACAACCAATTAAACTTCTCTGGTGTAAACTCATATTTCACTTGGGCCAAGACATGAAAAATATTTCGATTTGTTGTTTCAGTAAAACTATCCACTAATGGCTTTAATCCTATATAATACTCAAAAATATTTAATTGACCGAATTTCATAATATCGTACAGTAGTTCGGGACCATTAGCAACCAAATTAGCACCAGACTCGACTAAAAGTTTAAAGATAGCCAGAGTAGTTTTAAAATCCCTTTTACTCACCCAGGTCCCATAATATTTACGTTTCGCCGTTTTTACAAAACAATGTCTACAAGCTGATAAACCCAGATCATTAGTTCTATTTACATTAACAATATCTACAAGCACTAATTTAACAATATCTATATAGTGGGCGTATTGGGCGGCATACATTAAAGGCGTTGTTGTTTCGACACTCTGGGTAGGATCAGCCCCTTTTTGTAGTAATAATGATATAATACCTAACCACGTATCTTTATCACCATGGAATTCTATAGCATATGTTAAAGGTGAGTGATAGAACCCGTCAACCTGATTAACATCAGCACCATGTTGTATTAATAATGATATAATACCTAAACATGTATCTTTATCACCATGTAACCATATAGCACATGTTAAAGGTGTGAGATACCCGTCAGCCTGATTAACGTCAGCACCGTGTTGTAGTAATAATGATATAATACCTAAACAGGAATCTTTATCACCATGGTATTCTATAGCACATGTTAAAGGTGAGTTCATCTTGTCAAGCTGATTAACATCAGCACCATGTTGTAGTAATAATGATATAATACCTAAACATGTATCTTTATCACCATGTAACCATATAGCACATGTTAAAGGTGTGAGATACCCGTCAGCCTGATTAACGTCAGCACCGTGTTGTAGTAATAATGATATAATACCTAAACACTTATGTTTATCACCATACTTAATAATGACATATTGTAATGATTTAGTTTGATTGAACTTGTCGAATTCAGCTCCAGCTTCTGTTAGAATGTTAATACAGTTGAAACATTCGTCCACATCATCAGTGTTTTCTATACAGTGATCTAACACATGGTGACCAGATTTAGATTTATAATTAATCATGTTCTTGATTTGATCATTACTTAAAAGAATTGACAACATTTTACCAGATTTAGCAAACATTAATATAGTTTTATGAGAGTCTAGATTGAGATTTAAATCAGAAATTGTTAAAAGATATTTAGTAATATTGAAACTGTTATACTTAACAGATTCTAACAAAGCATTCCATACTTTATTGTCATGTTCAACCTGTAAATATAATTTCTTACTATAGAGATACTGAATACCTTCAACAAAATCTGATTTTATAGCACATATCATTAACTGTATATTTAAATTAATATCAAGTTGACCATCAGATTGTAATATTATAATATTATTAAATAAACACTTAACAAGTGATAAATATCTTCTCTCTAATGATTGACAGGTTAAACTTATAATGACGTCTTGTAGTCTTCTGACGTCATCTGGCTGTAGTTCTTTTAATATGGTCTCCGTTAGATCAATGTTGACGTCATCAACAGCTTGAGATAATCTGTAAAACATGAAAATATTGATGATTATGTCAAAGATTTATTTACACTTAAGCATGTTATTTCTTTTTTAAAAGGGTAGTTAATCCAAACAGTCTTATCTTTTAATTGTTATAATAGTCATTCACCTGTATCTGTTACTACGTCAAATTAGTCAAACTTTGTTCTAACGCAATAATTTATAAAGTGCAAAAAGTGTAAAATTCTGAAGGTAGGGTGATAATTCGTCCCATATTGTATAATCTTCATTGGTTACCTATCTCCTTTAGAGGTAAAGGGACCATGTCGATTTTAACAGAATCTCAGAAATATATTAGTCCGTGTAGGCCTACGTATGAAATTTAGGCGCCGAAATAGGCCTATAGAGGAATGGTGTATTTAACATCTCTCAAAATTTCAGTTCAAAATATTGAGTCGTTTGGACGTGAACGTCAAAACCGCTTATCCGGACACGTAACCATTATAAGATTTCGGTTCAATTTTTTTCGTTTGGTGACCTGATAACCTATTGTCTTTCCTTTAGAGATTTATACAGTGCATGTCGCACGTGCTGTACTTGATAACGAAAGATATATTTTACCTACAGAAAGTTCATGAAATAAAAGTCTGAAAACCACAACACAATTTATATGGAATACAATCACTGGTTTATACACATATAGCACGACGTTACGACAATTATTCTCTTATCGTTATCAAGTACAAATGATAAATTAGCAAACTAAACTGGTTTCATCCAGACACCACATAATACGACATGGGACACTGGTCTCCATTTCCAGATGAAGACTGATGGGTTTAAGTTGTTTGAACATGTATCACGTATATTAAGTTAGTTGCGCGAGCCTAAGGTAGAGGATTTTAAGAGCCTTTAACACTAAATCAAGCAGTTTTATTCTCCAAAATATAACCGAGACTGATCCTTTAAGTTCATATACACGTTCTAACATACACGTATAGATACTTAAATAAACTCTGCCCCCCCCCACCATATATGTCCCTCTTCAGTGGAACAAACTACATGTATGTGGTATTAGCCATGTTGACTCATAAAACAAAGAACAACACGTGGTATTAGCCATTTGAAATACTACCCCAAAATATTAGCACCAGTTCATCGTGGCGTTATCTAAGACAAATCTGAAAACTCACTTATTCTTAGAGGCTTTTCAACGGTAGTACATCATTTTAATTTATTCATAGCAATGATAGTTTATTTATATATATATATATATATATATATATATATAAAGAGAGAGAGAGAGAGAGAGAGAGAGAGAAGAGAGAGAGATATGAGGTTTTACGTCCACTCAAAGCAAACTAACATGATTCATCCTTATTTCAATAATTCGCTTGCGCGAAGGGGTCTTTAGCAATGGCAGGAAACCGGAGGAACCGGAGAAAAACCCACGAGGTTGGACAGGCGACCACGTACAACCGGGGAATTGAAACCACACTAGTTGACTCAATGACAGACCTTATGATACAGCGCGCACGTGCTAACCATTCGGCCATCCAATCCCCCAGTTTATGAATAATAATAATAATAATAATAGTTATCCAACCTGTACATTATAAACGTTATAATAGATATTTACCTTTCCTGTATCTTCTGGAGTTCATGTTTTGGTTCGATATTCCCACTTTCACTTTCATCAGATAATTTTACTAGAAAACAATAAAAATATAATAAGTCAAATATACCCCACCTATACATTGGATCTGAATGATAGTTGACTAAACTGTTGTATAAAGTTGACAGACCAAGGACAAATATAGTTTTAATAATGCAATAGTTTCATAATATAACAGTAATACAGTATAACAATCGTTACAAGTTACTATTTCCATAATACAACAGTAATACAGAATAGCAATCGTTACAAGTAGAGAATTTAATTTGAAAGTTATCAATTTACCTATTTTAGTTGGTATCAGGTGTTCCATTTCATCATCACTCCCGTTTGAACTTTCTCTTTTAGCCGGTTTGTCATCTCGTGGTACATTGGTCTCATCCATTCTAAAACTGGAAAGCTCTCAGATAAAACATAAAGAACAATAATAAAGTTTGTTTGGTTGAAGGAAAGATGCATTGGTTCTTTGGGGGGGGGGGGGACGAATGATTAACGCGTTGCATCATAAGGTTTCCTTCTACTGGAGGAATGGTTATCTCGTGCGCGTTGCATCATAAGTTTTGTCATTGAGTTGTGGTTTCGATTTCCCGCTTGTAGGGTCGCCTGTCCTACCTTCTACCTTTTCTCCGGGTCCTCCGGTTTCCCCCAACTGTTAAAGAACCCTAGCGAATTATTGAAATAAAACTGAACCATATGTTAGTCCCGAAATGACCTAATTTATGTCAAGTGGACGTTAAAACCCATTTCTCTCTTTTTTAATTCGGGTTACTCGATTGCTTTGTCAAGATGTCCTTACCTACAGTTCAACACAAACCCTCACAACGTAAATTCCAGCCCGAGGGATTATTAGTATGGCGATTTTTGGTTTTCATATAAAGGGAGATAAGTACAAAGATAAGTACATGGAAATGACTCAGTTCTCCACAATTCAAGAAATACATAGCGTTGAAACCGTGTTCATTGAGGATTTGAACTTTGATAGATTTGGACAATGTTTCAAGTACTGTGTAAAGTTACTTCGCTATAAACTGAAATGAAATAGGATTTAAAAGCCTACTGTTCTTCTCCAACGGGGCTAAAAACACCAGCATCGCTAACGCTGCAATATACGTCCACATTCCTATTTACAGAAAAAAATATTAACAAAAAAGTGGGTGTGACACCGCCCCAGGGTGTCGGGGCATGCACCAAAATAAATAGTTGCTGTCTTTACGGTATAAAGAATAAATGTTCCAAGTATGACAAGTTTTCAAGACGATCGATTAAGAATTGTGACCTGCAAGTAACACACAGACACACAAAACAAGAATGAGCGTGGCATGCACCACAAACAATAGAGATGTTGCTAAGGGTACAAAGAATAAATATACAAAGTTTCGAGATGATACGCTAAGAAATGCAGTCTGTAGACGACAAACAAACAAATACAAGAAATGAGCGTGGCTCTGCCCCTGGGGGTCGGGCATGTCAAGGGTCGCTATGAACTATATCTATAACATTATGAATGTAGTTAAATGTTATAATATACTTACGACTGGCTTGAATTGTAGGTGGATGTATTTCCCAGAGGGTAAAACTAGAACCGCATCAACATTAAGACACAGTTACGTAAATTTCCTGTTCAAATTCACTCATTAAGTTTATGATGTTCCCAAAAGAGAATCACAACAAAAGTTTCTTATTAGCCAAGTGAACTTTGGGCGTGGCAGCAAAATCATTTCATCTACTCTACATGTAAATAACCCCATTAGAACTAACATTCAGAAATTATCATCAATGACCCCATTAGAGCTAACATTCAGAAATTCTCATAAATGACCCCATTAGAACTGACATTCAGAAATTCTCCTTTTATCTTTTAAATTAAGTCCCTTTTAAATGTTCAAGTGAATATGTCATCAACTAAATATTTAACATTGTCAAATTAATAATAGAAAAATACACTTACGATCGGCTTGGATTTTAAAAGATGGATGTATACCAATATAACTGTGAGCTATTCATTCAAACAACCTGCTTGCTAATGGCCTTCTATAATAAAATGCAGAGATGTCATAACGTTATAAAGCCTGCACAATATGTTCATATTATATAGGTTACATTCAAAATCGACGATCGACCAAGTAAAACGCCATGACCTCTACATTAGTTATAAATATAATACAGTGCATATATTACTTAACCGTCTCTCAGTCAACAGGATATGAATGGAATACAGTAGAATATTTTTGAACACATCCAACTTTTTCATTTTATTTCAAAGCCATTTTTTTTTATTAACATTAAAAAGAAACAGAGACTACACTGAAAGAATACTTGCAGTGCCAAACATTGTATAAGATGGAACTCGAGAGAGAGAGAGAGAGAGAGAGAGGGGGGGGGGGGTCATTTCGGGACTAACATATGTTTTAATTTTATTTCAATAATTCGCTTGCGCGAAGGGGCTTTTAGCAGTGGGGGGAAACCGGAGGACCCGGAGAAAACCCACGAGGTTGGACAGGTGACCCTACTCCTTGTTACGCACAACCGAGGAATCGAAACCACGCCAGTTGACTCAATGGCAGACCTTATGATTTAACGCGCACGTGCTAACCATTCGGTCATTCCCCCCCCCCCCCAAAAAAAAAAATCTATGGTCATATTATTACAATTATTATATTTTTTTAAGCCATACAATATAAATTTGCTTTACAATACATCAATTGCTTCAGGTGAAAAGGGCTTCCTCACCAAACTTGAACAAATCTAAATAATCACAACCAAAGCAAATATTTCTAAAGTTGATCGCATTAAGGCGTATGCCCGTCTTCATTAACCCAATCGGAGCAGAACGGTAGGACGTTAAACCCCATTTCATTTCATTTCATTTCATTTTATTTCATTTCATTTCCTAATCTTATTTGGTGTCCGTTTAAGTAAAGAAAGAAATGCACATTTTCCTTTTTAAGTAGCCCTCCCCCCAACACATACACACACACACACACACACACACATTCACCAGCCCTCTATTGGGGGGGGGGGGGCGAATGGTTAGCACGCGCGCGCTCTATCATAAAGCCTGTCATTGAGTCAACTGGCATGGTTTCGAATCCCCGGTTGTACGTGACAAGGAGTAGGGTTGCCTGTCCAATCTCGTGGGTTTTCTCCGGGTCCTCCGGTTTCCTCCCACTGCTAAAGACCCCTACGCGCAAGCGAATTATTGAAATAAAATTAAACCATATGTTAGTCCCAAAATGACCTAGTTTGTGTCGAGTGGACGTTAAAGCCCATTTCACTCTCTCTATTGGGTCGAGAAATTTGACGTGAACATATACCGACCATCTATAGACTTATTATATCACATTGTACATCCATAAATGATCAGCCCAGATGTTATGTTATAATTGTATGATCAACTATTGTTTAAACTGTGTATGCTGTCCTTGGTGGATGCAATGATACAATAAAATCTTCTCTTTATCTTATCTTACCCGGACACATAGTAAATACATTTAGTGAATTTTTAGTGTTAAGCTGTACTGTCACACCGTTATAAGGTCGCTCAAATTCATTTAAATAACCGATGCCCAGGCAACAAACTTCTAAAGTTTGTTTTAAAATTTTCGCATAATATGGACATGGAGATGGGGAGGGGAGGGGGTGATTGCCCAGACAACACGGAAAAATTATTAATTAGACATTAATTAACCTATCCGGGCCATAATCAACTCTGCGATCTTTAGTTGATTATGAGCCGATTTACTGCATTACCTTCCTTCACGATTTAACGATTAAATGGATAATCGAGACTATGCTGTTTATAGTACTGACTAGTGACTAGTAACGATGATCAAGGCCGGAAATTTCAACAGCTTAGTTCTCGGTTCATAGTGGATCAATTTGAATGAAATTTACAGCAAATTGCCTTTACATTATCTAGTTTTTAACTATTATAGTGAGAACAGCCAACTCGTTTTGGAATCTCCCATAATGTATCTTTAAGCAATTGATATTCTCATAGCGCACAGTAAATATGAGGCGTTTTTGTGAGTCGATTAGATTAGGTTTTGATTTGCTAGTACGATTTGGTATGATTTCGATTTGATTAGCTATGGTCCACAAATGTGAAATTTGATAATTACCATTTGGTAAGATGGCTGCCATCACGGACACCGATCAGAAAAAATATTGTCTCTGCTAACATGACGAGGGGGGCGTGTGTTTCACGTGTAGTCCAAGTTACCTACAGATTACAGTGACACTGCTGGCACCCAGAGGGCCTAAAATTGCTTAGAGCCAGAGGGGATCTAACATTCTTGTGGACTTTAAAGTTAACATTAAAGGAGCTAAATCGCTAACATTTGGGACCTAGAAATTGACAAAAGTGGGTCGCAATGCATATAATACTGTAATATGAATGTATATAAACTGATTTACATTCAATGGTTTCCGTTTTTACTCCAATTTCAAATCCGTTATGTTCGGCGAAATAAGCCAGCAGTCTCAAGCGAGTGCAAATTTCTAGCGTCACGTCTGGTTATTCCAGTTTACATACGCCGTTTGATTTGGTGCAATGTGTCTAGCCTCGTCCCTCGAGTCTCTTGATACAACTGGGGCTGAAGCGCATTATGGTACACGATTGGTGTACCAATGGTAAAATGTTTATTTTGTCTTAAATATTGGATATCAAAAGCCCATCTTTTCCCGTTAAGATCACAACATGAATGTTGATATAATTTGACAAATAAATCGTGTTTTCAATGTTGAAGATTTTGGATGATATTGAGTTAGAGACTTAGCTACTTTAAACACATCAAATGTGTTTTAAAAAAACATTTTTTATGGAGAAAAACAACAATAAGCATTAAAAAAATTACTTACGATGTCGAACATTCCGCCATTTTGAAAACGTCAAATCTAATCGCCTAAACACCTCCTGGGACGATTAGGTCGATTTGCCTAATCAGTTGAGTTAAATCGTCTCACAAATGTAACGATTAGCATAATCAACTTGGTTCACAAATGCGTATAATAGCTAATCGGTCTAATCTAATCGGTTCACAAAAACGCCTATGACATTAAACGGATAACAATTCAGCACAATTTGAATTTAACATTTTCATTTCTTAATGTCTATAAACTTAATATCCACAATACAGTTACAGTTAGCTGTGAGCTATTCACCTCAAACACCCAGCTTGCTAATGAGCAGAATTTCTAGGAATACCCAATAACTTAATGTGCATGTACACTACCACAACAATCTGATTCACCGATATTATACGTGACCTGCTATCTAATGGGCTGAACTTCTAGGGAATACCCGATAGCTCAACGAGCATAAAGATGAATTGTAGATGCTTGTGTTAATGTTGATGAAAAGGTCGTGTGAGCGGAAATGAATACTTCAGTATAAGTCAACATGCATAATTACGGGTTGAAGGCGTTTTTGTTAATTTCGGAGAAAGGTCCGTTTACTCGGAAAAAAAGAGAAGTTTGATACAAGTGAGGATTTCTGGGAATACACGACAGCTCAACATGCATAAATCGTAGATTCCTCGGGAATTATTGTACACTATACACCATTTGTTGATATGACATTACAGTATACATGTAGGTGATATAACATTATGGTATACATATAGGTGATGAATACTACCTGATATAACATTATAGTATACATATAATATACATTATATACATGTAGGTGATATATACTAGCTGATTTAACATTATAGGATATATGAAAGGGCTGTTTTACCCACAATTTTGAAGTAATTAAACGCCCACATCCCAATTCTTGAAGTTTTTAAACGCCCACGTTGTTAAACGCCCCCAATTCAATTGAAAGTATATTTTTGTCAGTGTCATTCTTGTCTGTCCTGATTTGTGTCCAGTGGGCGTTAACCCCTTTGCAATACATGATCGAATTGAAAAGTGTTCGATCGATTTTAAAAGTTATTGCCTCTGTCACTGAAATTTGTAAACGCTGTACAGTATTCGATTATAAAATCCAGAGTCGATTTTACGTGGAGGTATTTTCGTTGTTGTTCCGATATGAGATAGTACACATAGTTGTTGCAGGCCTTTATAGCGTCTAAAAAAATCACCAAGGGCTGCAAATGTTTTAGATGGGACTGGATAACATATTAGACGCAGTCTTTAAACCAAAAGGCAATATACAAGAAGAAGCTGCATTTATCCTGGGGGCAATACGTTTTTCGCATTTTATCATTATTTTAAAACCGGGTCGGTAATTGCAATGTGACATAGTTTAAAAAATGGTTTGCCGAATTTTACTTGTGTAAATAGTTAACCCATAAGTTGCTAAAACTGATTTGGTGCATTTTATATACCAAATGGCAATAAACACAAAGCTTATTCTGGACACACATGCTAGCCGATTTTTGGGGGTAAAGCGTTTTGCCGTTGTAAATGACATGTGGCAAGTATCTATTGTTCGTTTATTTGTCCTTTTCTAGTAAATCTCCATTTCCTCCAACATAGCAGTCACAATCCGTTTTAAAGCGACCCGGTTTTGGAAATTTGATTAATCGGTCGTTAAGGCTAATAGAAAGTTAATCACTGTAAACTAACCGGACATGTTGGTTGGTATTTTACAAACGTTACAATTTTCCCACATATTTCTATGTTATTGTCTGAGTTGTTACATGTAATGACGTATTCACACATAATCATGTAAATTAGATATGTTCAGTTGTATTAAAATTACTTGTCACTTACTTAGTGGACACAAACTTCAATATGGCAATAATTCTCTCTGTAGAGTCTTTACTGACACAAGCTTCAATATGATAATAATCCTCTTTGTAGAATCTTTTATTTCAACAATTTAATGGCGACGTTACTATTTAATTTTCTTCCCTGTTATAATTCTAGATTATCAATGATTAATATAATGAACCTAGCCCTAATTATACGGACAATGGGCGTGGCTTATCATAGGCTCGCAGGATATGCATACTAATATATTAGGCTGGAAAATAGAATACCACGCCATGACTATAACCGTAACCCAAACCCTAGTTGGCAGCTGTAATATGTAATCATGACTACGTAACCCAAATGTGGGAGGGTCAATCTCCTCCCTAACTTTGAGAGATACCCATTGGTATCACGATAAACAAAATGTTGCGACTAGGTATTGCAGTGCTGATACAGTATAATAGACTAGATTATTTAAGACATTGTTGATATAACATTATTTAACAAAAGCATTAGTATCATAGACTAGATTATACAAGACTGTGTTGATACAACATTAGTGTCATAGACTAGATTATACAAGACTGTTGATACAACATCATTTAACTACATAAACAAATCATAGAGACGAATACCAAACAATAGGGTAAGTGTTAGATATTATGAAACCGGGACGATTTTGATAGATTCTATAAAGCGAGTATAATTTAAGCCCCGCCCTTTTGTTGTTTAGGCCCTTCCCACTTTTTTGAAGGTTGAGGTTGCAAGGGGGCATTTATTGTTAGGCCTAATGATGAACATAAAACTTATTTTCCCTGAAGTTGAGAATACTACCGTTGGATCTTTCTCTGAGGCAGGACGATTTCCAATATCACCTAATATATCTACAGAAGTATTTCAATCTGATGAAAATTTAATAAGTTTGTTGAAAATTTTGAAGTTAATTCCACAACACGTTTTGTCGTGTCATATAACCCATCATAAGAAAATGACTCACTTTAAAGCGAGGCCGATTGATTCTGTATGTGGTATAGGATGCTGAATTTCTCTATTTCTAGGATATATAAGATAATATTCTTAACTTTTATAAGAAAATCACTCAAATATCATTGTTCTATGTAAATTAATTGACAAAAAATACGCCAAGACCTTTCATACATAAGAAAAAGACTCACTATAAAGCGAGCCCGATTGATTGGGTTTCATATGTGGTATAGGGCCATGAATTTCCCTTTTTCTAGGATACATAAAAAATAGTATTCTTAATTTATATAATAAACAGACTCTATTGTTATTTTTTTCATGGAAATTAATTGAAAATATTTATAATATTTAGGACCGTATTCTTAATTTGTATAATAAATCACTCAAATATCGTTTTTTTAAATGAAAATTAATTTAAAAAATACACCAAAATCTTCCAAACTTAAGAAAAAGATTCACTATAAAGGGAGGCCGATTGTGTTCAATGTGTGGTATAAGGCAACGATTTGCTCTATTTCTAGGATATATAGGGTAATATTCTTAATTTATATAATAAAATCACTGCAAATATGTTTTTTTATGGAAATTAATATATGTGGTATAAGGCAATGATTTTCTCAATTTCTTGGATATATAGGATAATATTCTTAATTTATATAAAAATCACTCACATATCGGTTTAATTGAACAAATAAAATCCAATATAATTTAATCACAAGAAAAAGACTCACTATAAAGCAAGGCCGATTGGGTTCTATATGTGGTATAAGGCAACCATTTTCTTTATATATAGGATATATAGGATGATATCCTTAATTTATATAATGAAATCACCCTAATATCTTTTTGTTTAATGGAAATTAATTTAAAAATACACAAAACCTTTCAAACTTAAGAAAAAGATTCACTATAAAGCGAGGCCGTTTGGGTTCTATATGTGGTATAAGGCAATGATGTTCTATATTTATAGGATATATAAGTTTAAAATATTCTTAATTTATATCAGAAATCACGCAAATATCGGGGTTTGACGTCCACTCGAAACAAACTAGGTCTTTTCGGGACTAACATATGGTTAAATTTTATTTCAATAATTCGCTTGCGCATAGGGGTTTTTGGCAGTGGGGGGTAAAAGGAGGACCCGGAGAAAACCCACGAGGTTAGATAGGCGACCCTACTCCTTGTCACGTACAAGTCCGCAAAAATAGACTTGCCCGAATAACGATTTTGCCAATTATCAAAAACACTCTTAATCTTCCCAGACGCCAGTGACTTCACAGTGACCAAATTTTAATTTTAAATCCTTTTTAATATTTGTCCTTTAAATGTCATAACAGAGGCATTTCCGTGTCCTATTGGTCAAAATAAATTCTAATCAGCCCACAATACACCTACCGTAATAGGCTTTCGATTAAAAGAACAAAATGGGTGTGGAATATGAACATCAATGAAGCCAATATAAATAATTATGTCTTATGTCAGCTTTTACGAAACGAAAGGGTTTCAAGTAATAATCATAAATTGAGTTCGACATTTGCGTTATTAGTTATTTGGACATACATACACAACTCTCTATCATACGCATGTGGCATATTCACATTTCCTCTAGAATATAATTTACAATCACGAGGCTCTAATATTTATAAAATAACAAATCAAAACGAGAATGGTCCATTAAGTTTCATACATTAGTAACCTATGTTTTGTTTATTATTTACAACTTTACACATGTATATTACACTTTCTCCATACAGTTTATTATAACTGTTCATCTCAACACTTAAGAATAAATTAATTAGCACCTGACAGTTCGGGGGATTAAAATTGTTGATTGGGTAATCAAGTTTAGTTTGTAGATCATCAACGAAACCGCCAGTTCCGTTATCTTCGTCACACGACTGAATTAAAATAAGGTTTAAGTTTTTGAAAACGAACTTAGTGGATTGAATTCCCGTGCCATATTTGATTTCATTCTATATTAACTTTTAATTTACGTATTTTATACGATAAACTAGGAATAAGCATTGATTAGTCTATAGCGTTAATTGTTAATTGAACCGTGGTGTGAATAAAAATTACTTTGTATCGGATAATTTCAATTAGGTATATAAGATAATATTCTTAATTTATATAAGAAAATCACTCAAATAACTTTTTCATGGAAAGTAATTGAAAACAAATGGCCCAAATCTTTCATACATAAGAAAAAGATCCACTATAAAGCGAGGTCAACTGGGTTTTATGCGTGGTATAGGGCGAAGAATTTCCCTATTTCTAGGATATACATGTATATGAAAATATTCTTAATTTATATAATAAACTGACTTTTATTGTTATTTATTTTTTAGGATATACATGTATATGAAAATATTCTTAATTTATATAATAAACTGACTTTTATTGTCATTTATTTATTTTTTTTTTACATGTATATGAAAATATTCTTAATTTATATAATAAACTGACTTTTATTGTTATTTATTTTTTTAATGGAAGTTAATTGAAAAATACTTCAAAATCTTTCCAACATTAGCAAGCGAGGCCGATTGGGTTCCATATGTGGTATAGGGAGATGAT